GACTTAGACCTAGATGATAACCAAAGACTTGGAATTTCGAATGTAGCTAACAACGTAATTGAAAAGGTTGGCGACCCCTTGGCTCAGCTGGTGCTTACAGTTAACTCTTAATATCATTAATTAGTTCTCAGTTCTCAATTTCTCATATATAAATGCCACAAATTACAATTACCTAAGGTACAAAATGTACAATACCATTAGATACAGCTGATATGCTAAATGCTAATACTAACAGCCTATGTGTTACATGAAGGAAAACTCTTTGCTCTATCTTGATAACTATACAATGACTACTCTTCTACTGTTCCAAGACTGGTTTTCTATCACAGAACTAAAGTTTTAACTTTAAAGTTCCCAGTCCTCGGACCACCCACCCCCTTAAAAAGGTGTGGCGACTGCCACACCTAATACATGGGTTCGGCGCCACTGTTTGTATCATTAAAAGATTTTTTTATAAGTATAGATAGATATAATACAATATACAGAAATTGAAGAAATTTTAGAACAACTGATATTCGTTTTATTTATTTTTATTCCTCACTAAAAGAATACAATAATGTTCAGTATATATTGACACATCATTATTTATATCACTATATTTACAACTCAAACACACGCGTATTATAGTTATTGAATGTTTACTTTTGAGTAAAAAAAAAAAAAGCACTTTAAGCGGACCAACACCAATCGCGCTATGAGTAGGATTTCGGCTCAAGGGGGTTACTTTTTCAAACAAAAAACTGTTGTAGTCACGTGAGATTATAGTCAGCCGCGCAGATGACTTGTTCGAAACAACTGAACAAAAAAAAAACAAAAAACAAAAAATGTTTGACCGGCTGACCGAATAGCTAGCGGTCGGAAGCGTTTGCATCCTCGACATATTATAATGTCTGTTATCGCACAATAGCGCACACCGCGTATAGGGGCTACACCCGATGAACTGGCGTGACGAATGTTTTAAAGAAATCCCTCCCCGTCAATTAATAGATCCTACGAAGCCTTAAAGACAAATACGGTCTTTGTATTTTGTCACGTACAGAGACTGGCGCTACTAACTTACAAGCTGATAAAACAAGTAATATAATTAGTCGATATCGAGGTTGTATTGGATGGAAACACCTTCCAAATATGCCGCCCTGTGGAAGACAACAAAAAAAATATCACCCAAATCGGTCTCCTTAGGCACCCCGGGGTTCGAGCGAGACGGTCCCGGCGAAGGAATATCGTGTAAAACATAATATAAATGTTGGTTCCCGCTGTGTTATATTACCCGCGTGGACTCGATCGTGACGTCGATGTCTCGCGCGGACGACAATTTACTCAAGAAGCTTCAATTCGTCAAAATATTGTAATGTAACAAATACCATACAATATTGTGTTGAGGTAAGTCACGCTTATGTTTACTTTAACTCCAAACAGTACTTACAATATTGAAACGAGTAATAATCAATACGCAATAGCCAATCATGTGAATTTTATCTACGGTGAAATATTTAATGACTTGGGTTATGAATCATGAGAGTATAAAAAAAAAAATTCATCAACGAACCTACCTATATGTATATTAAACAAAATGCTTGTATTAAATTATAGAAAAAAAAAATAACTATAACTTGCCTGTAATCTTTGTTCAGCCTGATCAATGAGGTCTCTCTGAGATTGAATGAAATCGTGCAACATAGAAAAGACTTTCTTGCGGTCTTCCATTTCACACACTAGTCTAGTGTTGTAATCAGTCAACAAGGCAACAGCATCATTTACTTTACGCAAAAGTTCTTCACCTTCGTCTTTACCTGAATACCATAAAACAGAAACAAACATTATTAACAATGTATTGTCATTACTTAAAATGTTATAAAACATACAATAAAAAAATTTATGCCAATGAATGATCTGAAACAATTTAGAATTTAAGTGAATTGAGACGACAGTAAATCGTCCAAAAATTACTTTGTGGCAAACAATCGACAATTATTACAATGGAGATAAAATATTGACTACTGCCCATATAAGTCATGAATAAAAAATATTCATTAATTATATCAATAGGAATTACAAATTTGTGTATGTGTGTGCTACTGCACATTCTATTACAACGCTTTTTTCCATAGATTTAGTCAATTAATGCAACAAATACAATGAATGTAAGATCGCAATTTATAATAAATTTTAGTTTCAATATTTCCTCTAAGGTAAAATTATTATTAAAACAGTTGGATAACTGAAGGAAATATTAACACAATGTATCATATAGAAATCACAATAAAATGTTCCTTATCTATTCAAATTTTAACAAATATAATAAATTCCAATAATATATTACAGAAAATGAACAATTTACATATATTTTTATTTTTTTAACTTTATTATACATTTATATAATTCAACAGGTGAATACAAAATAATAGTAACCTTTTAACTGAGAAAGTAAACTGACATCAGCAATTTCTGGAGGAAGTTTAGAAATACGTTCTCGAACAACGGCATCACAAGAAGGTGCATTTTCTAAATCCTGAAAATAATAGTATATTAATAATTTATAAATTAATTATTTCTAAGCATATTAAAACAAGTTCCTATGTTACACGTTAAACTTAACTATAATTCCATGTTTGACTAAAAAGTTTTAAAGCAATTGTTTATTGAATCATTGGTATAAATATGCTAAAGGTTGCACCTTTATAGGTGCATGATAGTATATGCATTCTTAACTTGTTTTCATAATTAAATCAAAACTTAAAGAATTAAGTGTAATTATGTACCACAAAAATTAATTTAAATAACTATGGTTAACGCGAACATTTAAACACATAATATTACTATACTTAAAGTAAAATCATTAAAAGTTCAAATCACTTGAAATGTTAAAAACATAAAAAAAAAAAATGAATAAGAAATTGGTACATTAAAAAACCCCTTTTAAATATGTGCATAAATTGAATATGGTTAACATAATTATGTTAAGATACATTCTAATTTTAATGTTCCAACATAAAAAAAATGATTTGTTAAAAAATTATCAACAAAACTTAAAGTTATTTAGCAGACAATTTAAGAAAATGATTAGTTTTTAAAAATATTAAAAATGTATTTAATGTTACAAATAAGAAAAAGGGTAGATAATAATTTTTAATTTTGATTTAAGACTAGTTATGAAAAATAAAATGGTATAAATTAATTCAATTAGTTTTTACCATATATCAAATCAGTTTACTTTTATTTGTATACTTATTTTCCTAGCGTTTTTGAACAAAAAACAAAAATATTTTAGGTCTCATGAAATTTGGTGGATGAAATTACAAACATACATTTAATTTTGAAAAAGTTAAATATTGTTTTATAGATTAGAAAATAGAGTCAGAAGTTATAAAACGAAATTTTAACACAGGAAAAATAGATTGATCAATGTTTCAAATATTTGATTTTATTTTGTTTTTGCCTATGACTATATAAGTAAATAACTGATCTATGTACATTTAGAGCTTTGATTAATTCTTCTGGTTCAGGAGGATCGTTGACAGGAGTCTTAGGAGATAATGTCACACGTAATTCTTTGGTACCATCCACTTCAACAATAACTTCTTTATCTTTTTTTATGCCATTGTTTTGAGATTTTGTCTTCTTTGATTTGTGATTATGTGAATGTTTCACTTTTTTACTTGGTGGTTCACCTGTAGGCTGCTTTGCTGATTCTTTACCTAAACATTTTAAAAACAATTAATTGTTTACAGTTGACTGCTTAACATTATCATAATATTATACCAAAAGCATCCTTGAATTCATCAATTTGTATTTTACTGTATACACCTCTTTCTTCCCATATATTCAACAACCGCGTCAAACTCTGTCTGGTCTTTGATGAACAGTTGTTTAAAGAAATTTGCTTAAATGCTTTGGCCAGTTCCTTGCCAAACTCTTGCCCATATTCAGGACCCTTCTTTTTGCCATTTTGTATAATATCATTAGCCAAGTACATTAAAGTCAATTGTTTGGATTCTGAGCCTGGAACAAAAGTTATTAATTAAAATTTACAAATATATCCTATGAACTAACATAAAACAAATAGAAAATTTCAAAATACTTAAGTAAATGTTTTTCTGTTTTAGGCAATTTTTTTGTAAAAATAAAGAATACCTATAAAAAAAAGATTCATCATAATATAAGGTATATTTTGGTAACCTAATGCATATAGCAACCATTTTGATGGTTGCTATACACATTGCATGACCAAACTTATGCAAGGTTTTATTTCCTTTGTTGTATGACATATGTATAATATTATGATTAGTGAATGATATTTTGCACATTTAAGTACCAATAAAATCTGGAATATAATTTAACTAGGTAATAAAAAACTAGGAATTTTTCATACACGCACTTACAGTACATAATACAAAAATAAAAATGTTCTACTCAAAGATTGAATTGATTGATTATATTATTATGTTTATTATAATGTACTAATAATTTGCAAATACACTTTTTTTTTTTTTTTTTTTTATTCACCCAAATAATGTACACTAATATTCATATCAAACATACTA